GGGGGGGGGGGGGGAGAAAAGCAACAAAAAAAACACACATACCAGAACCAGAGAGCTGTTTCTGAGTGAAAATCATCCAGCAACACACACACAGACACACACATAGATTCACACACACACACAAACACACAGACTCACGCACAAACTCACACAGATTCACACACACAGGCACACACAGACTCACACACACACACACACTCTCACACACACAAACTCTCACACACACACACACTCGCAGACACGCACACAGACTCACATGCACACACAGATTCACACACTTGTTAGCTGGTAGCTCATCGGCCTAAAATGAGCCGTTTTCTTTTAAAGATTCAGACATTTCTTCCTCACGGTGAACTCTGAGAAACAAAGGCAGAAAGCTGAGAGACGTCCGGATGATCTGAGCCTTAAATCAAATAATCTCCATCACACTGCTGCACCTCTGAGGCTCCCAGAGTCCAACCGACTCTAAACCGAATTAAGTGTGTAACTGTTGTTTAACATAAAATGGGTGAACACCTTTTCCTGGGTTGGACTCCTAAATAACACATTTGGACTTTTTAATGAGCCATTTTTATGGTTATTTTTGGCAGATGTGATGTTTAGGCACCAATGCATTTTTTTTTAATTGTAGCAAGTCACCAAAATTCAATCAGTGATTCAGAGGAAAGGATCCTGAGCTGGTTCACCAGGTGAGTCATCCTGTTAGCACCTTTTCTGAAGCCAAATGGAATACAGTAAAAGGTGAAAATTAAAGGTGAAAAGGGGCCGTGAGGCTGTTTGGTAAACGGCTCTTTACACTGTTTCGGGCATTTTATTTAATCTGAGCATTCAAACTGTCCCCATGAAGCGTATCCAACAAAACTTCACAGCTTTTCTTTGTTTTTCAGACTTGTTTGAATCGGCAGCCAAAACTTTTCGCTGCTACCTAAAAGTGTTTGTTTGCTGTTTAAAGTTCTTACAGCAGAACCTCGACTTATGACGCCCAAACAGACGAACTATCCAACATACGAAGGGAAATTTGATCAAATATTCGACTAAACACCCAAAGTAAATTTCCAACATATGACATCAAAGTCAAAGAAAAAGTACAATAAAATTATAATAAATTAATAAAAATGAAATAAAAATGAATAAGTTAAGTTTGTTTAAAGTACATGTAGTCAAAGTTAGAGTAAGTTAGGATACATCCTTTATCTCAGTAAGAGCCAATAAAAAACCCTTTTTATTGATTATTTCTTGATCATTTATTTATTTTTCCATCTCTCTTATATAATGTATTTTTTTTATTGCTATGTGTAATTATCTGCAGTATTTATTAAGGAGTTATCGTAGGTTTCTGGAACGAACTATAGGAATTACAGTGTATTCTGATGGGAATATTTGAACCAACATAGGAATATTTTACCATTCGAAGTCGGTCCTGGAACGAATTATATTCGTATGTAGAGGTTCTGCTGTATCTAAAGTGGTCGACTCAGCGGTTTGCAGCTGATGCGTTTCTGGTTTTTGGGATGGACGAAGCTGCTGCAGCCTCAGATCTGAGTCCCTCTGCAATTATGAACATGGAAGCCGCAGAAAAGCCTGAATTCAGCTCCATTATCGATAGAAAGAGCGGGAGGCAGAGACAAAGCGCGGGGGCGGGAGCTCCGGGAGTGG